TGGTTATAGTTTTGGGTTTTGGTTGGATATCATTAACGAGAGTTCAATGTGCTCCTAGATAGACACGTGTAGCTCTTCTTCCGTGTTGAATATTTTGGCCTCCCGACGTCAGAGAACTTCGACACCAAGGGCAGGAATATCACTCCTGGAGCTACTTGGCCAGGAGCGCAAGGACTCTCAAGACACATCAACTGCGATCGGAAGCAGGCAACCTTACTGGTTGAAGTACAAGATCGCTAGAAGGCTCAAGCGGTCAGACGGCTCGCGACTCAAGTACCCCATTTTGACACAAGGCGATAAAGGCTGATCGCGGCGACTCTAGGAGAGCGCCAACCAAGAACACGCAATCGGGTGAGGAATTTCTATCCGATCTACACCAATCTCTAAAACGGTCAAGTTCAGCATCGAGCCAAATCCACCTAGAAGAGTGCAACCCGTACTACCGACGGGCACACAAGGTGAGGAAGGAAACAAGTGCAAGCGCAATCGGATTACCCCATTCATTAGTCGGTTGGCTGGGCGCCAGTGGAGAGTCGGGATCACCTCATAAAATGAGCGAACCCCACTCCACCACATTATCACTTCGCTTATCTTTGGCGTCATTAAAGAATTCTCCGGACGAGCAGCGGTACGGGATCAACACAACGATGGCAGCGTAAATACCACACCACCGACGCATCCGTATGAGCTGGTCAAGCTTAAGGGAAGAAACATCGTGTGGCTCGTCAAGCAGCAGAAGGAGATACCAGACACTTCGTGGACGCCAGCCTACGCCGATAGAATCGGTGCCCAAGTCAGAGCGCTCTGCGATGCATTTGGAACCGATAAGTCACTACAGCTGGTCATTGATGCCAGAACTCACATCTATCAATACGTCAGCGCATGGGCTGAACAGGGTCCAGCGGCCGCTTCGACTAGCTATCAGCTTTGTAGGCCGCTCAACCTTGCTTTTCCCTAGCACAAAGCCGTTGAGTGTAACTTCTTCATCCTCAATCCCTTAAAGATGCGTAAGGCAAGCGACTGAACAAGCTGCTATTTAACGGCCCTTGCAGTACAAACAGTATGACATGCTAATGCGTTTAAAACAGTGAAAAGCGTACTCATACCTAAATTTAGGAAACTTCATAATCTGCCTAATTATGATTTCTGAATGGCGCATAAATCGTTTGTATGAGTCAAATAAGGCAGCTGCCCAATCTAAAGAGGCCTGCCCTTTATACCTATGAGGGATGCTGGATCGCACTCTGTGCGTGTAAGGTACATCTAGCCGTGCTATTTACAGACATAAAGACTGATAAGTATGATTAAAAAGATTGGCATTCACCTTGTGCTCAGTCACTAGTAGCTTCACCCTACGGGCTCGCAATAACTTGGGGGTTCTAAAAAACAAGCAGCTAACCTCAGACACAGTGGATAGCCTACAAGTGCTAGGACAGCCAAATAAAACACCGAATTTGTAGTTGTATGCTTTGGTGTAAATTACTAGATGATTAGAAAAGTTATGGAAACTAGTTTGATATAGAGATTTGGACTAGTAGCCGGCGAATTAACCTAGTACGAGCGTGAAGGGTCGCATCTTGACAAAAACAGAAGCAACTACGCCAAAATAAGCTTTTGCACAGCACCGTAATATGAACAATGATACAACAGTAAATAATAAAGGGGCAGCCTGGGAGACCCATCGAGATATGAAGACATGGTTGCCTAAGGAGTGGTCGCTGCTGATTGAGATTCCACCCGCATCTGTTTAGTGGAACTGTGCAAGCTGGTGAGATTATGGAACGGTAAAGCAACTGATTTTATGCGTCATGGCCCACTATTTGTTTTTTGAAAGAAGAACATACACGTGAGAACAGCCCACTCGTTTTGTTTACATTTGTTCGAGATCTGGTCTTACGATGACCAGATGCGATTGTGTTCTCCCTGTGCACATGACATCATCACCTTCTTAATACATAGAAATAACCCCATTAACCCGACGTTTGCACAGCACTCGCAAAGCCACTCTTCGATGCATAGGCGTGAGCTGTTTCTTTTGCGAGATCTTGACTGTGATTGGTTTCTACTGAAAGGGGGTTGGAGGAAGACCAACTTTATTCACGTATTGTGGTTTGTAGAGGATGCATTTCTAAACCAGGTGTGTGAGGGCAAGTTTGTACAAAATTTACGAATCGACTGCGGTACGGCTATGATTATCAGAAGAGCTGTGTGGGAAGGAAACATGTTTTGGGAGGCCGTTCACATGCTTGTAGGTTATCCACTTATTTTGCGGTAACGGTGCTCCTTCTGTTAGTCGTTCTCTTGATAACTAATGACCTCCGCTATTTTGTATGATTGGACGTCCATCGGGGTCGTTTCATGGTCGCTGACTGATAACTTATAACTAATAGCCTTGACGAGGGATACAAGTTTATGGACGGAGAAGTTGTATCACACGTGGGGGAGTAAACTAATTCAAGCCAAACGTCGAGGGTGGCTTGTGTGGCGTTAGCAATGCGAATGTCATCCTGTAGGCTGCGGAGTAGCTTGGACGTATAATGGTTAGTTTTCTGAGACAGATAATGCAAGATGCAGGCACTACCTAAGATTGTGATCTGCTCGCACTTGTACAATCTATCGGTAATTTCCTCCTCCTCAGCTGCAGCTCCTTCGATTCATTTCTCCTTCTCCTACGCTGCGTTCAGAATCTCTCGGTCATTGAGCTCTGGCTGAGCAATCTCGACTCTATCAATATATTTGATTAGCTCATCAATGGAAAGACAGCCAAAAATAAACCGTTTTTTAAACGAAGAACAACAACCCCAGATAACGACCAGGATGGCTAAGTGTCTCTGAGCTTGAGGCACAACCTGAACCAACCTTACAAACAATATGTGAGGACCTGCGTTAGCGGTCTCTGGGGATTGTTTTTACTGATTCTAAGTAAATTATAATCTTATTGGGAGAGAGAGTAGTGAGTGTTCTGAATGAGCCTTCTGAATGAGCTTTTTATCATTAAATTATTGACTTTGCTTTAGTGCATCTGGCAAATTAATCAGCATTTCTTTACACTTTTGTCATGTGATATTACGTTATGGAAAGTGCTAAATTCACACCACTTTACCTTAGATTGACACCCTTCCTTCAAAATCTTATATATAAAATCCCTTTTCATTTTAAGATTTATTTTCTGACACAGGTATTACTCGATAATCTAGGCCATTGATTAGCAAGTTATACGTAAGAAATACCTAAGATACTACTCAAGCCTGTGGTCTAGCTTCTCCAGCAATTACTGATAGGTCACCACGCAATAACATGCTTCCATCTCCCAAGGTTGAGTATGCCAGTCGGGAGCAACTTAAGGTTACTGTGCAGACGTTAGCACGTGGCCAAGGCTATGCTGTTACGATTAAAAGTTCGATTGCATGAAAGCGTGTCTACCTTAAATGTAATCGAGTTGCCGTAAACGTATCAAAGGTTGGAAAAGAGCGCCAACGCCAGACCAGCTCACGCCAAATTGATTGCCCGTTCCTTATAGGTGAAAATCTCTCCAAAAAGGGGTAATTGGAAGTTAAACGTGATGAATGGATGCCACAATCACGAGCCGTCGCTTCATCCGTCTGTTCATTCGACTCATAGAAAGCTAAATAGCGAGCAGGCCGATACTGTCAGAAATATGACATTGGCTGGTGTTAAACCGTTAGGGATTCTTTCAAATATTCTTATGAAAAATGACGGTGCCCTAGCAAACCTCTCTACAGTAAATAATGAGTGGCTTCACTGTCGTCCTTGCGCTGAATCAACGGCTCGCCCGTAATGTCGTCCTTATCGTCCACATTCGGCGGAGCAAACTTGACATGGTTACTGCGGCCACCCCAAGTGCGCGCGTTGACCTGCAATGCGTTCAAACAGCACTTTGTCCGGCACGTTAATAATCACCACAGCATCCACCGAGGTGGTTTCCTTCGTCAACTTTTCGTCGAGCTACATAGCACCACATACAAAAATTGGGAACTATGGTCAGCCGCTGCGTTGCAACCTGGACACTTGTCTGTATCTCCTCTTGTTTACACCTTTTGGCCTGCACGACCGTTCGTGGGAAGTCGTCAAGAATAAAGCCACGACGGCATTCCGAACTCTTGATGGCGTTCTTAATAATACCGACGACAATCTCTTCGGTCACAAGTGCGCCCGACTCCATCGCAGATTTGACCTTTTTGCCTATGTCGGTGCCAGCAGCTACAGCAGCGCGCAAGATGTCGCCCGTAGCCAAGTGGCAGAGAAAGTACTCGTCTTTGTCCAACGGCGATTGCGTACCTTGTACATATAAGATTTTGAAGGAAGGGTGTGAATCTAAGGAAAAGGGGTGTGAATTTAGCAATTCCATTTGTTTTTTATGAAAATTAATTGGGTTAATTGCCCATTTTTCACGCCACCATCATCCTATGATACATAATCTCTGTTAGCTTTTAGAAAATGTTGTCACTAAGACTAAAAGTTAAGAGAGGAAGACCTGGATTTACTGGTTTTGCAGCTATTCACTCTGATTTGTGGCTATCCAGTTGAGTTTCAGGCCAGTTGCTTGGTTTTTAGGATCTCCCCAATAACTATACAGCGCATGGTATTTTAAACACACTGATATTCAACCTTGCACAAATTTTGAATCACTTTATGCAAAAAAACTCATCTTTGAACACCTGATGGATTGCTTCATTGGCTCAGCCCCAAAGATCAAGTTCTTCTCAAACCACCGTGACTTGCCACCAGCTAAATGGATTTGCAGCTGAGAAACTACAAATTGCCCCGATCTCTTGCAACAGTAACTCCAAATGGCTTGCAAGTGTCCTAAGGTCGTTGTTTACCGTATTCATATGCTGATATTCAAAATGGCGCCAACCTTTTCGTGTTCTGTAGCCACGTCGAATGGAGGGTAAGCATTAGTGGCAGCAACGAATGATGTTAGCAGCATTGACCAATCTTTCGAAATACTGGACACATTTTGGCGGGGATTGACCTCTCTACATGTCACTGTTGATGTCATCAAAAGCCTCATCAATCTTGTCCCATAGCGTGTTTGCAGCCGTGAAATGGTCCATTGCAGGGTCGATGTGAAATCGGACAATTTGCTTTTTCGCAGGTACATGAATATCTGTTGCACCACAACATCGAGAAAATTTGTCAATGCATTCAACACGCAAAGCCATTGTGCTTGCTCACCTCCTGCCATCTGCATGTCGCTAAAGTCCCACCGGATTCCCGTAACCGAGGCATAAAGACTCATTTGGTTTCTGGACAGCACAACAACCATGTGTAAGCCACAACTCATTTGTCCACCATCAGCCTCTTGTTTTGACGCCACGTACTTTGCCACTGGAATGTCGTTCTGATGATCAGCATGGTACTGCAGCAGCTCTTGTTTCGTCTCATCATATCTACTCATCAGCATGTCCAACGACTCCTTCGACGTCGTGAAATGGTGAACAGATCGAAATAATCACAAAGCAGGTTAAGGACAACTGCTGCACTAAGGTACCAGGCCACTACAAAATCTATGTAGTATGCAACTATAAGACACCATGAGTTCACTACGATGAAAAGGATATTGTTCGTTCAGTCGGAAGCGGTCCAGTTGCACCGCCACATCTCTCTTGATCGTGTCCAGCTGCTGCAGACGCTCGTGCAGCTGCTCATTGCGCTTCTTGGCCATTTGCTCTTTTTCCTCCCACTCCCTTAAATTCGCGTGAAGATCTGATATATTCAAATTAGAATCTGAAATTCCTTGATTCATAAATCTACCGCTGCGGATTCAAATTTAGGTAGTTACTTACGAGCGAGCAGCTTTTGCGCTGAGCGCTGGCGGGTGTGAAACGCGCTGGCAATGTCCTTGCGGTTCTGGATGAGCACACGTAGACGCTGTGCGTCTTTAAGTGCGTCGTCGTGGAACATGCCTTCCAACTGGCCGCAGATCTCCTGCACCTCCGGCCACGACAGACTCTTGCCACTGCTCTCGCTCATATTGACTTTCGATTGCAATCTGAATCGCTAGATTCAGCCTCGCGTCTGAAATAGATCATTCAAAAATCGACGTTGAGCAATTTCTGATCCACTGACAAAATTGCTAAAAACATTTTCTGATAATTGTACAAAAACAGAAGCAAGTATACACCACATTTTGTATACTCCTCTTCACCCCGGTAGCAACCATGTCGTTTCGGTCACTGCTCGAGGCAGCGATGGGCGACGCGCAGGAGCTCTCGCAGGACGAAGTCGGAAGGATTGATGCGCAGGTGGATCTTCTCGATGACGACACGTCGCACTTAAATGGTAGAATAAAAACATTTTTGAGGGTCGTGGTAAAAACACATTGTGGAGTCCCTAACAACCAATCGATTGGTCAGGAGCTCTCGCAGACGACGACAACGACGACATTTACGTTCCACAGTCCAGTGAAGAAGAAGAAGAAGATAACGGTGAAGATGCTGAAGAAGACAACGAGGAAGAAGAGGAGGACTCGGATATTGAACGGCAGCTGTGGGGGAAATCCCGCAAGCGCAGGAGACGAGGAGGCAGTGGCCCAGGCAGAAGACGTCGAAAAGGTGGTCTACCGGGCAAGCGCAGCGTGACAGCCACTAAAGTGCCTCCTGAACTGGCCAATGTACTGGGTGAAGCCAACATGCTCTATGCCTCGCATCAGTATGACGAGGCTATTGCGCTGCTCAAGGACTTTATTAAGAAAGCGCCAACTATCCCCGACCCGTACCATACGTTAGGGATGATATATGAAGACCGCCAGGACCGTATCAAAGCGCTCCAGTTCTTTTTGATTGCGTGCACGCTGACACCGCAAGATGCTGAGCTTTGGAAACGTGTGGGTCGCATTGCAAAAGACGAGAAGAACTTTGATCAGGCGCTGTTTTGCTTTAAAAAAGCAAGTAGTGCGGACCCGAAAGATAAAGAAGCGCTTTTTAGCTATGCGGAATTGTGTCGTGAACAAGGCGATAATCGACGAGCAGCTGAAGTTTTCAAGAAACTGACTGTGCTGATCCCGGGCGATCTGTCGCTGTGGATTCAAATTGCAGAGGCGTATCATTGCAATGGACAAGAAGACGAGGCTGTTGATGCGCTGAAAATGTGCATCGAAAAGGCTGCGACGCTGGACCAGACGATGAGTTTGCACTCTTCAAAGTACGAGCTAAATGCTGTGAACATGCTTGCAGACTTGTACATCACGCTAAAGAAATATCGCGAAGCTATTAACGTGATTCACCACCTCCACGCACGGTATGCATCGGGTCAGGACCCTGACCAGGTCGAAGGTGATCCAGGTGGCTTGCCACTCGATATCGCCGTGAAGTATGGTATCTGTCACCTTTTTGAGAGAGATTTCGTCACGGCTGAGTTCATGTTCACACATCTGTTTGCCCAAGATGTCGTAGTTTTTGGCGATCTGTATCTCGATGTGGCAGATGCATATATTGCGCTTGGCGATCAGGACCGTGAGGCTGCAGCCATCCTTCAGCAGCTTCTAGGCCGAGAAGAGTTTTTGATCGAGCAGATCTGGGTAAAATTTGCTGCATGCCATGATCGTTTGGGTATATACGACGTTGCCGTGGAGTATTACGAGAAAGCGTTGGCCTACCAACGCAAATCAGCAGACTTGACAGTAAGTCCGGAATTAATGTTGCAGGCAATGCAAGTTACGCGGAAGAAAAATAGCCCGCTAAAGGGTATTGATTTACTCGAGCAATATTTGCCACAGACAATGCGCCCGCCGATCCGGCCTTATTGGATTACTTCACGAAAAGAGAAAAGCCAAGGCACAGCGTCAGCTCATGGCGAAACTGAAAAATTTGCAAAGGGCGACGAAGACCTTGATGCCGATGAACTTGAAGAGGAAGCAGAAGACGACGACGACGAAGCTGATGACCAAACCAGAATGGAAATGACTCCTGATCCGTCGTTGTCTGTAGATGCTATGGAGAACGGCATACGCCTGAAACTCCTGATTGAGTTGGGTCACCTAAAGAAACTATCGGGCGAAGCTGAAGTACTTTGTCAAGTCGGCATCCCCATCATACTCACATCTCTTAGCCAGACATCATTCCGCTTATCTGGTCGCGTAAGAAATCCACTCGTGGAAGCGCGCGATGTCATTCCAGAGAGCGACGCACAGTCCGTGGGCTTCCAGGTGTTAAAATCTGAGTATCTGGTGGACATTACAGACTCGCGGCAGCGCGAATCGTTCATGGGGATTGTCATGCGTGTGGCTCAGCAAATTGTAATTTCTCGTGCTCTTGGCGAGCAGCAGTATTACAACCTGGTGATTGACGTTGCACAAACGCTCACTGAGCTTGGCAAATATGTGGCAGCAATCGAGCTTTTGACGGACGTGAATACGTCGGACAAGATTTCCAAGCCTATTCTGCGCTTTGAGCTGCGCTTCTTAGCGCTCGTGATCGCTTTGGAATTCAAGGAATATCGGATGGCGTACGAATGCGCACGGTTGAATATCTTGGAGGATCCACAAAATTTGGGCTACTGGAATTTGTTCTCGCGCGTCATTGCTATCACCGGTGTGTTTTCGTGGCATCAGAAGTTCCTAGCAAAGTTGTTGCGTGACAATCCTGAAAGCTACCCGGCCACTTTGCTTGCTGGCCACCAGTCGTCAGCGTGGGACATTGCATCGCTGACGGTTGGTGAACTAACCCTTGCTCACCAAAAGCACCCGAACGACTCGCTCACTCTTTTCTGCATCGGCTTGGCCTTCCTATCTGCGTCGATGCAACGAACCATCAACGATCGGCAGCACACTGTGGTAAAGGCGTTTGCATTTTTGCAGCAGTATGAGCGTGTTCGCATCGCTGCTCCAAGTGATATCGTATCGGAAATTCGTCAGGTGGAGGCCTGGTACAACATTGGTCGCGCTCACCAGCAATTGGTGCGTTTGCGATGTCTGACCCTTCATCACACCAATGTTGTATCTCTCCGACTAAGTGTTTATATGTGATTGTCATGTCGTGCTAGGGTTTGTATCACCTTGCAATACCAATGTACGAGCGGGTGCTGCGATTTTTCGCCACAAGCAAGGAGCAAAATCGTGAGGTGCCTCCAGAATACATGATCTGCAAGGAAACAGCTTACAATCTGTCTCTCATCTACAAGCAGAGGTTCGTTGTTTTCTCTTGATCTCGGTCAACTTTTGGTCTTGGTGAAATACTGAGCCAGCTTTTGCTTGTAATCGCTTTGTATGCACGAAAATAGCGGAGCCAACGACCTGGCTCGATACCTCGTTGTAAAATATTTGACCATCGGTTAGCCTGAATACAACCCGAGCACGAGGCCACGAGAGCGGCTCCAATGCAGAATCGCTCTTGTCCGAGTGGCGACCACAGCTTGACGTCATCAGCGCCTAGCAATGCTTTAGGCGGCATAATCTTACTACAAGCTGGAGCATCGATGTGCTGATCTTGGAGAAGCTGTGGATCAAGTGATTCCTATCGATGGCTTCTATCCCGAGAAGACGTTGAACTGAATGTCTGCCGACATCACGTAGTGATGCAAGCGGACTGGAGCCCGAATGGCTTGGTTTTGGTATAGCAGTAGTTGCTATCGGTGCTTGAGCGAGCATCCTGATACTACGCGCCGATATGCATCCGAAACCCTCAAATGCCAAAACTCCGAGCTGCTTTTAGCAATTTTTACACCTGCTTTTGCAAAATAGATAGTTGCCAATTTCTAGCCAATCAGCGCCCCTCTCTTCTCTTCATTTTACAAGATGATCGCTGAGGTGGCAGATCGATGGCAGCAGATGCTGCGGGACTGCTCCGTGCGCTCCAAACTGCCGACCGTGAGTCTCCTGCTCGTAGGCGACACAGAGAGCGGAAAGTCCGCACTCGTATCGCGTCTGGACGAAGCCAAAGGGGGTCACTCTGAGGCTGCAGGTAGTGACCCCGCTGTCGATTCGCTGCTGGCCTTTCAAACGCTCGACGTGCTGGATCCGCGTGCATTAGAGAGCGGAGAGAGTCAAGAATCAGGTGCGTGATCGTGTGAATATGACAGAAGCGCTTTGTGTGTTTGTAGGGGTGTCAAATTGGACTAAAAGCGCTTTTACGATGGTTTTGTTAACGCTATTAAATAAAAACCGCATGTTGACGGTGGTTTTTTTGGTGGTAGATGACGTGATCGCACACGTGGAGACGTGGAGCTTGAACGATTTGAACCTCAAGGACCTGATTAAGATGGTGGTGAAACCTCAGATGCTTGATAAGGTGGAGATTGTTGAGTTTGTGGATAGGAGACGGACAGAACGACAGGAAAAGGAGAAAGATGGAGGAGCTTACGATGGACATGTGCGCAACTGTAATGTCTGTTTTGTTTCGTTGGTAGACGGTGGTGGCTGTTGTGCTGGATCTATCGCGGCCGTGGACGATCAAGAGCTCATTGGAGCAGTGGCTTTCAGCTTTGGAAGGTCAATTGCTAGATCAGATTAATCAGTTGACATCAGAAGCTAGAAACGAGCTGTATGCGGCGATTAAGCAGCATATTCTGGCCTACGAAGATCCGGTACGAAACTCTCAGAGTTAGAGCCAAACACATGAAGATAAATGCAGAGTGTTTTAATGCAACCCGTGCTTGTACAATCAGAGTATAGACCATTCTGCACCGACGCCAATGGATACGTCTGCGAGCGAGTTTGTACGCGTTTCTCGAGATAGTGGTGGATCAATGGCGCAGTGTTGCTGATATCGCTTTCGTAACAGATAGAAGAAGGTGTCTTGTCGAAGAACCTTGGCGTGCCTCTTATATTTGTTGTGGCCAAGGCGGACGTACGTGTAAACTGCCGATACATTGCACTAGTGATAAAGGTTAATCTTATAATTTGTCTTGTGGGTAAAGCTGCGTCCGGAAAACTCGGTCCAAATGGATTACATCGAGTACACGCTTCGTCGTGTTGCAGTTCGATGTGAGACCTCTCGATGCTGTAGTTTTCGTGATTGTGCTAATCGCTTTTTACT